TCTAGTTCTTTCCTTAGATTTCTAGATTTCCTTAGCTGTTTTAATTTTTTCCTTAATTATTCGTTGTATTTCTTTATACTTCTGTAGATCTTTTTCTTTATATTTCCTTCTTTCTTCCATCAGTAATAGTATTTCTTCTGTCATCCAGTGTTTTTTAGCCTCTGATTTATGTTCTATTAAACTTTCTTGAGCTGGTTTCAGTAATGTGTTTTTTATATTACACCACTTTTTATTTACATCCGTAATTTGTTTGTTGTCAGTTAGTGTTTTATGCATATTAACATTCACATTATTTTTTAATTCGTTTTTTATTTCTTCGTTTTGTAGCATTCTTACGTTAATTTTTGGTTGTTGTTTTCTGAGTTCAATTCTTTTTAATTTTATTTTCACGTCAGCCACTAACGGATTGTGGTCTGAGTTAACATCTGCTCCAGGATAAGTTTTAACTGAGGTTTTGATCTGCTATTTACGAGTATAAAGTTTATCTGGTTTCTGACAATGTGGTTTTCTGTATGTGAAGGAGACGTCCATGTATATAGTCTACTTTTAGGAAGCTGAAACCAAGTATTGGCAATTACCATATTCTTTTCTTGGCAGAATTCTATGAGACTTTCTCCTCTCTCGTTTCTAGTTCCTAGTCCGAACTGTCCAACTATATTTTCAACTGTACCTACTCCAATTTTTGCATTAAAATCTCCTAAAATGTAAGTAATATCTCTAGATTTTGTTAACTTGATTGTATTGTGCAATTCTGAATAAAAGTTCTCGATCTCATCTTCGGTCTTATCAGCAGTGGGAGCGTAGACTTGGATCATATTAATATTCAAGTTCCGTGCTCGAATTTTTAGCATTATTATGCTAACAAGATCTCTAGAAAAAATTTTAAGCCACGCTACCTTTGTCAAAGATCCTTTGATAGTAGAAAATCTCAATAAATTAGAAGCAGGTGTTCTAACATTGCGAGTAGGTTCAATTTATGCCCATTTGTACTTATTTCTTCCATAAAAGTATCGTCTGTTTGGATCCACTTCATTCATTGAATCTTCATCAGACTCATAACTTTCGTAGGATTGACCATCGTTAGTATCGCTGGCATAAAATTCGCTCTCAGAACTGTGGCCACTCATAATTGGTCCTTCGTGTTTACTGTTTGGCGTGTCGTCACCATCTTGGTCGGAAAAATCACTATCGGCCTCTTCGTGCCATAGCCCAACAATTTCTTCAAAATTAGCATCGTCCGGATGCACACTTTTTTACTTTTAGAAACCGCCATTGAAATAAAAAGTAGCACAAACTACGTCGTAGGGTCCCTAGGACTCTAATGTGTTCTATTCGATAACTTCTATGCAACTGATCGCGATTTTGCATAAGCATAACGGATATCTTCCTACTACCTGAAGGTACTGTACGACACCACTCGTTTGGATCAATAGTGAGGAAAATATGAAGCGTTGTTTGAACAGCGGAGTCCGAGGGACTCCATGACGTCAGTTAAGGGTTAAAGTAATGTTGCGATTTATTTATCGTATGGCAATTACAACACATTTAGAACAAAATTACAAACACTAGTAATATAGGTATATGACAAACTTTAAATAATTACAAACAAACATCAAGTGTATTAATATAATCAATTGACTCTGAAGTTGCAAACAGGAAGTCTTCAGGGCTACCGTTGTAGGATCTTGACGGACACTCTTCAATAATGTGGTCGATCGTTTGGGTCTTCCCACAGTCACATTGAGGAGATGGATTCTTTCCCCATTTATGCAGCATGTATGCACACCTGCCATGTCTGGTTCGGATCCTGTTTAGAGTGGATCATGTTTTACGTGGAAGATCAAAACCTGGTGGCTTGTGGGTAATACAGGGCATGTTATTTTGCCATGCATTCCATTCTTGGGACCATGCATTCATGATGTTGAACTCCTCATGTATCATTCTTGCCGTTTTCATTGGTGGTTTTCTAGAACGTAGACGGGTATTTCGTACATCCTCGGTATCTTGGTGGATCGGCAGGTTTATATTGTTCATGATCTTTTTGTATTCACGTGTAAGTGCGTCAACTCGTAGTAAATGTGGAGGCGAATGTGACTTAATACTGAAAGCCATTGGGTGGGAGTTGATTTAATTGTACCAGCTATCATCCTCATAGTGCTGTGCAGCTGAGTGTCGACCTTTTTTACGTGTGGACTGTGTAGCCAAACTGGGGCACAATATTCAGCGGTCGAGAAAACAAGGGCTAAAGCAGTAGAGCGAAGAGTGGAAGCCGATACTCCCCAGGTGGTACCGCAGGGCTTCTGTACAATGTTATTTCTTGTACTCAACTTTTGGGCAGTTTTTGTTAAATGCTCTTTAAATGATAGCGTTCTGTCTAGTGTTACGCCCAGGTACTTCGGTGTTTTGTTGTGGGAAAGTGTGGTATTTTCAAACCGTATGTTGAGTTCCTTTCCAGCAAGTTTATTGTTCAGGTGAAAGCAGCTTACTTCTGTTTTGGATGCATTTGGTTGAAGCCGCCACTTGCGAAAATATTTGCTCAGTATATATATAAGTCTGCCGTCAGAACTCCTTCAGATGTTTCTAGTGTTCTGCATCGTGTAGTGAGGGCCCAGTCATCGGCGTATCCGAACTTTCTTGATTGTGTTTCTGGCATATCTGCTAAATATAAGCTAAATAGTAATGGAGAGAGCAATGACCCCTGTGGTAGGCCATTCTTAAGTTTCTTTGGTGGGCTGATATCTGTGCCCATCACTACTTGAAACATTCGGTCGTTGAGCATGCTATCTATTAAACGTGCTATTTGTTTACAGGGGATTGCACGGAGAATTTTGTATATAAGGCCCTCTCTCCATACTGTATCGTAAGCTGCCGAGAGATCAATAAATGCCGCTGAAGTTTTAAGTCTTCTTTGGAAACCCGCTTCGATGTAGGTGGTGAGTGACATGACCTGGTCCGCGCAGCTTCGTTCTGGTCGAAAACCCGCTTGTTCGACTGGGATCACCTGGAACAGTTCTGTACTGATTCTATTATATATAAGCCTCTCTAATAGTTTGTAAACGGCAGAGAGAAGCGCAATTGGTCTGTAGTTTTTTGGGTTGTCAGCGGGTTTGCCTGGCTTTGGTATGGCTATTATCTTAGAGCGCTTTAGTTCTTGTGGGATATTTCCAGTTTCCATGATGTCTGTGAAAAATCGAGCCAACCAAACTTTTGTATACCTGCCACAATTTAGTAGAAATTCAGGGTGAATATTATCAAATCCTGGTGCTTTTGCTGGCTTAACGTCTTTTAGAGCCTCTGATATGTCTTCGCTGGTGAAGGGGAGGGAATGCTCCGTTTCTGTGGCTACATGTTTTAAAGTTTTAAGTTCTCTCTTTACGCAGATGGTGTGTGCTTTATCATTTGGTGCTCTGGATGTTTTTACTATATGTGATGCTATGGCATCTGGCTTTACGGCTGCCTCTCGGCGTTTCGTACGGACACCACTCCCTAATTTTCTTAGTAATGACCATGCCTGTCTGCTTGATTTCTGGAAGTTTAGAGTTTCTACTGTTTCGGTCCACTTTTGGCTTCTAGCGGCGTCTAGGCTGTACAGTAGTTCATCCGCTATTTCTTGGTCGCCAGTTTCAAGAAAGCTCTGATATAGTTCCTCGCTATTTTCCGACCAGCCAGGAACATATTCTTTGCGATATCCTCTTGGTATGTGTTTTTTTAGCTACACTTAGCACGGCACCAACAAATCTGTGGTAGTTTTTGATATTCGGTGTAATCCACCCTAGACATTTATCTAGAAATGTTGCGATAAATATGACTGATGCCTAAACTGTACATGTTTTTCTAATAAGTATTTTTCTAGTAGCGTCTCCTACGATAAAACCTGTCTGGGTTCCATGCTTTTCGAGAGAGTTCAAGAAAGGTCACCGATTGGTTCGAGGGAATTCTAGAGTAACGGATATTAAATGTATATAGAGAAACTTGTTATTGAAAATGGCAGTCTAAAAAGAGCATTGTATCGAGTCGTTTAATTGTAACGCGGAAATAAATTATATAAATTAGAACAGTGCATATAGTGTAAAATATATTATTGTAAGAATATATATATAAATTAAATAAAGACTATAAACTAAGTGTTAGAACATTTTATAATAAATAAAGTTAATAAATTAGATTCATAAAAAATAGTTCGGTATACTTGCAGCTTTAATTTTGGTGACATTGCAGGTCGCAATACTGCATCTTTTTTATGGCATCCTGCAGCAGCTTGTCGAATTTTTCTTAGGACATTCTTTAATAGTTTCTATACCTACTCTTCTTTATCCTCTAACGCTAACCCCTTGAGCAATGTCTCTGATGGTCCCAATCTATTTCTTTTTAGAAACTACTGTCTCACCCAAAAACATCGTTTTTCATGACTTTTGTTTATATTATTAACAATTCTTGTGAGTACTTAAAAAAACTACAACAATTTGTACACATTCAATGATTGATTAACTCGTTGATTCAATTTTAATTGAAATATGTGAACAATAATTAATTCAAGTTGCTTTCAACTTTTGTGGATCAACTAATATTGATTTTGTTTGTGGTACCTGCAACAATTACATATTGACAGATTTTATCTGTTCCAGATTTTATCTGGAATGATAATAATGAAAATGAAGAATAGCCGAAAACGTAAATTCATGACGAATTCAGTTTTTCTGCAATTGAAAGTGAGCCTGTGGAAAGTAATGTAATGTGAGTCTATGTCAATGATTCCAAAAACACATTTTCAAAATTTCGCCCTCAACAACCCCAAACGTAGTTCTCTGCCCAAAGGGCCGAGTGACAAATTATGAAGGTGATAAATGATGATAATGTGCCATAAACCAGTAAACCACATAAGCTGCATAAACACTATAAACAGTACAATAAATTGATAAACTTGATAAGGTGGACGAATTTGGCATGAACGTAGACCAAATATTAAATCAATCAAAAAGTGATTGTAAAAAGAAGAAGAATAACACCACAAAAACCGTAGATTACAAAATATAAAGCCGAAAATTTTGTAGAATATAGTTGAAATATATTTATCCTGATAATAAAAAAATCTAGCAATGGTAATGCAAATACTGTAATTTTTTATTAATATTTTTTAATAATGTTTACTTTCAGCTTCCTCTATCACTTCTGCGAACAGCACAGAATCATCCTATGGCAAGTAATTTTTTACAATTAATTAGACTTTCTATTTAAGCATATTACTTTCTTTTAGCTTGTTGAATTAAAAAATGGGGAAACTTACAATGGTCACTTGGTCAGTTGTGATAATTGGATGAATATAAATCTTAGAGAAGTAATTTGCACCTCAAGGGTGAGTTTATTCAGATTTCTTCATGGGTTTCTCTTCAAAGATGTTGTTATTTTAGTAGTATCAATTTTAGTTAGAAATGATTTGTTAATAAAAATATTACTGAGTCAGTAGCTACTGAACATTACAATAAGTTCCAGTAAACAGTTGGTCTACCTTTGTTTAGCTCCCATATTCTTCAGTAAAAAAAATGGTGTAATTTATCCAGTTCACATCACTTACAGATTCTTAGGTCTTAGATATACAACAAACTAAACTCTCTATTGCTTTTAGGATGGTGATAAGTTTTGGAGAATGCCAGAATGCTATATTCGTGGCAGTACCATTAAATATCTTCGTATACCAGATGAAGTTATTGATATGGTCAAAGAAGAAGCAGTGGTTAAAAATAAAGGTAGAAATGACATGAAAGGTGGAAGAGGAGGACAAAACCAGAGAAATAGACCAGCCTCTCGGGGTAAGTAAAGAAAATTACTTTTTTTATACACTGGAACAGAAGATAGATGTTGATTGTGGCCAAAATTCAGCAAGGTGTGAAATTTGTGGTGAAACTTAATTGTAAGCAATTACAGTAAAACCTGTCAATAACAGCCACTACAAATGAAAGAACTATTGGCTGTTATATAAAGGTAGCTCCTATTGTCAGGTTTTGCAGTCAACAAATACATAAAAGATATTTAAAACTTTATGTTATATTTAGAAATATAATTCTATATATCAAAGGAAAACTACTAAAACTCCTTTAACATACTAAAACAAAACATAAAACTACTTACATAGTATACTAGGAAAAAACAGAGGTTAATTTTTTAAACTGGGTGTCAATTTTCATTTGTTTTTAGCTTTGATTTAAGAATCTCAGCTTCACATTTAAGTAAAATTGAAGACACATCCATAAAAAATTCACCATTATTTTTGCACAATAAAACATTTTCTGTCCCTCAATTTTGGACACATTTTGCTCATATTAGATACAGTGGATTTTGGAGTTTTACATTAGTCCACATCACTATTGTCAGAATTGTCTTTTTCCTGATCATCGTACAGTTCCTCAACAATATCCTTAATAATGAAGTTAGGGCTCTCTGTAGGATATCACTGTCAATGGAAGCCAATTCATCTAAATCTAAAATTTCGGACTGTAGGAAAGAGATGGGTAGGGGATATATTATTGTTTTATTTATCAAAATGTAGATCTTCTTGGATAACGTCAGGAAACGGGCTTAAAAAAACATTACTTAATTGTAGCAGGAGATACTTTTTTCCAAGAAGCTGTAATCCAGATAAGTGCATTGGACAAATTAAGTTTTTTTGCAATTCTTGAAATCACATCTGTCAATAAAAGCTAGAAGTCTTTTAATGAAAAAATTTGGTAAATCAATTTGAAATTCTGAATTATTCCTTGATCTAAAGGCTGCCAATGTGAAGTGGTGTTGGGTGGCTGGAAGTCTATTTTAACATTCTGTAATGGAACTTGAGAATGGATGTCACATTGTCCAGGAAAAGAAGCAGTTTTGTATTTTGGTTTTTCATTTTATTGCCAAATTTATGCAACAATCTTGTCATAATTTCTTTTCTCATCCAACTTTTTTGTTGGAAACTCATTCTAAGGGTAATTTATTGATACAACTACTAACAGCTGGGATTTTTCCTTTTTTAATTAATAATGGATCTTCCTTTGAACATTCCATATATGCAGACATAGCAAAATAGTCAAATGCTTTGCTGCCTTCTACCCTGCATATTTTTCGTTTTTTAATGCAAATGTCTTGTTAGGTATATCTTGGCAATAAAGCCCTATTTTGTCAGCATTGTATACATCTTGTGAAGAATAAATTCTTAATATCTATTTATTTGTTTATTTATTTATTTAGACACCTTACAAACACTATACACTAATAGTAATTACATGTAAAGCTTAAAAAAATATAATAAATGAAAGAAACGAACATTAATAATATGATAAGAAAAAAATACAATAAACCCCTTAAACCTAGTGCTGATGAGCAAGCAATATCTTAAGTTCACAGCTTTTTATATTAAATATATCCACATGAGTCAGTCTATTAAATACTTCATTACAAATTTTTAATATATTGTTTATTGGTGATATGTATCTATAGTAATTTGTAAAGAATAGATCTAGGTTAGTTCCTTAACCTACTCTTGGGTACTCTAAAGTAAATAAACTCAATTAAACCACAGTTTGTGTACTTAATATTATTAACAATCAAGTATATGAACATAATGGCCTGACTGTTTCTTCTAGTAGCAAGTGACTGCAACTGAAATGGGTCGAACATTACCATGTATGAGACCACATATGGATATTTTAAATATCATATTTATTTTTCCTTACATATAGGAGTCTTAAAAATCGTTTTTGCACTTTTTCAATCATTTCTGGTCTCACATATGTGGTCTCACCAGGAAATTATGAGTTTTATAATTGTGCTTGTTCTGAAATTTTTGCTATTTCTAATGACAAAACCCAAAGCATGATAAGCTGTTAGTTATTTAATAAAAGTATATATTGAACTTCATGTTGATTTTGAATTTAACTCCAAGATCCTTCATAACACTCACTCTCTCAACTTGACCATCATTAATATAATAATCTTCAATAACACTATTGAGTTTTCGAGTATATGAAACTACTGCACACTTTTTAACATTAAGAGTCATTTTTGAATCATTAAACCATTGAATAACTGATCTTAGATCATCTTGCAATTTGACTGCATCTTTCTTATTAGAGATTGTTTTAAAAAGTTTAAAATCATCAGCATACATTAAGCTGTTACAAGATTTAATACAGTCTGGCAAGTCGTTAATAAATAAAATAAAGAGCAATGGTCCTAGTTTGCTCTCTTGTGGGACTCCAATTACCTACTTTTACTGTATTCTTTCTATCTGACAAATAAGATTTTAGTAAATTAAAAGCTTTTCTTGAGAAACCAAACTGTACCAGTTTATTTAAAAGAATACAGTTATTTACCTTATCAAATGCTTTTTTGCAATCAGTATACAGAACGTCCAACTGTTCTCCTGCCTAAATAGTCTTCGCAATATGTTCAGAGAGAACACAGAGATTAGTTACTGTTAATTTGTCTCTTACAAAACCATGCTGGAATTTGCTGAGTTTACTCTTAACATGCTCATATATATATATATATATATATATATATATATATATATATATATATATATATATATATATATATATATATATATATCATCATAATACTTTCAAAAATCTTAGCAATACTATTAGCAATACAACAGGCTGATGGACCTGTAGTTTTAAATGTCATTTTTTTATCTTTTTCATATATTGGAGAAATTGTTGCTACTTTTAAAATATTTGGAAAATATTCCTGTTCAATCGACATATTAAACAAAAACGCTAGAGGTTTGGCCAAGGGTCCGGCCATTCCCTTATAAATATAGGGTGGTATTTCATCAGGGCCTGTAGATTTTTGTGTTTAAGTTTTTTAATACTATTTACAACATCTAATCCTGTGATATATTTAAAGGTAAATAAACCCCACTCAGTACTTTGAGAATGACAATGTGTACAGTCGGATGTATCATACACTGATGTAAAATATTTAGCAAAGGCACTCGCAATATCAAAAGGTGTATTAAACTTGGAGTTGTTTAATGTCATTTCTATGAGAATTCCACTATTCTTATATTTTCACTTAAAGAAAGTCCAGAATTTGTTTGGGCCAGCAAGCAAATCATGCAGATTATTTTTTTTTTTAATTTTATGGATCAAATCTTGAGAGAACCAGTTTGGAGACCTAGAAGTAGAGTTGCTGGCCCCTTTTTTTGGCTTTAGGAATAGAACAAAAGGTGTACATTTGACTATAAAAAAACATTAAAAGCATTTTTAATATGCTTATATAAAAATAATGAAGACCAGTTAAACTGAAAAATTAAGTGATAAAGATGCCAGTAGTTACCTTGAGGATAGCTGTATGTATATACCTTTTTGTTGCCTAGTAAATCAGCTATTTCACTTACTCTGATACTGAAGATGAGAATGGGGTGATACAAATCTTCAGTCATTAATAGACAGGCACAGTACAAACCTTGCCACAGTACAAACATCTATATTAATAAGAGCAAAATCTAAAAATCTACTCATAAAATTAGGAATATTATTTATTCGTTGCAAGTTATTAATATTAAGAAACTGCTGCATCAGTATATCTTTATCACAATCCAAAAAGCTGTTATCATTTTTTGAGTACTTAATAGAGTTTTTTAAAAATAAAATATTCTCAAATTAATTTTTTTTTTTATAGCATAATTTAATTTACAATCTGCTTCATCGAAGCTATAAGTAAATAGTTTGAATGTTAAATACATGAGGGAGAAGCTGCCCTGTGGCAACTCTCCTATTATATTTTTTACATTAGATCATAATATATTTAATTTATTAAATCTGTTGGCCATTGTTTCTTCAGTCGTCTTGCGAATTCGGGAGGAGCGTTTAGCAGTCTTGCTTCATCATTTGGATGACTTCTCAGACCATCAAGGTAGCTCTTTGTGATCCTTTGAATTTCTTCCTCTACCAAAGGTGTAGCTGAGTCCTCGTGTAGGGTTTTATTGCTTACATACCAGGGCGCGTTGAATATTATTCTCAATATTTTTGATTGGACTCTTTGTATTATCTTGATATTTGATGGCTTTGAGCAACCCCAGAGTTGAACGCCATAGGTCCAAATTGGTTTTATCATAGATTTATACAGGAGCAGTTTATTTTCAGTATTGAGTTTTGATTTTCGACCCATAAGCCAGCTCATTTGTCGTATTTTGATGTTGATCTGGGTTTTCTTGGCTTGAATGTGTGGCTTCCATGTTAATCTTTTGTCAAGGGTTAGTCCCAAATATTTAACTTGTGTGCTGACTGGTAATTGTGTATCGTTTAATGTGATTGTTGGACATACATCCCTTCGGTTTGTAAATGTAACTTGGGATGACTTCGTTTCATTTACTTTCACCTTCCATTTGTTGAGCCATGTTCCCAATTGGTTAAGGTGGTTTTGCAGTTGTGCAGACGCGATAATGGGGTCCTCGTTGACAGCGATTATGGTGGTGTCATCAGCAAACGTTGAAATTTGGGTTGTTTCAGTGGTTGGGATATCTGCGGTAAATAATAGGTAAAGGAGAGGACCCAGGACGCTACCCTGTGGTACGCCTGATTTAATGGGAAAATATGTGGAAGTTGCTGTGTTATATTTTACTTGGAAGTAACGATCTTCAATGTAGGATTTCATAATTAGGTAGTAGGGAGTTGGAAGAATGCTTTTGAGTTTGTATAAGAGTCCAGTGTGCCATACTCTATCAAACGCCTTTTCTACATCTAAGAATGCCGCTGTACAATATTTTTTTTCCTCAATAGCAGTAAGGATTTTTGTTATAATTCTATGAGTCTGTTGTGTTGTG